CTGTCCCTCAGCTCTTCACCTCAAGGCTAGCGCTCTACCACTTGAGCTATAGTGCCACTTCTGGCTTTTTCTATTCATGTGGTGCTGAGGAATTGAACCCAGGGCTTCATGCATACAAGACAAGCACTCTACCACTGAGCCACCTTCTCAGCCCAAGACTTGGTTTTAAAAATGCATACAGGGCTGGAAAAAAACAAAAAAAGTTAAAAATGCATACAAATTATTTATTTAGTCTACCAAAAAAAATGTATTTTTCCAAAAAAGAAAAGAAAAAGGAGAGATGTATTATTTTCAAACCTGGCCCATACTTTGAGCCCTGGGCTCCTAAGTGTATCTTTAGGCCACAACTGAATAGTGAAACATTCTGGGATGTGTAATTAGAATTGATCAGGTCATCTAATGGAAGATGAGCAGAATTTCACATAACCTCCACCCAAACACTGCAAACCTGACACTACGAGGCATTACTGTAGAGTCTTAAGTCAGACGGCAATTGGCTAGAACAACTATTCAGATTTAACACACTGTATCATGAAATGGGGGTAACAGAACAAGTTACTGATAGAAGCAGCAGGCATGGCAGAACTCCATCCTCTTCAATGCTGACTGCAGGGACGTGCACAGGTACAGTTTTATAAACTGAATTTACTGAAAATAAAGCCTTGCCCCCATGAGGGGTCGCTTCTGTTCCATCTGAAATGAAGAGCCCTGCCCTTTAGTTCGGTCTGTTCTAGCCTCACAAACCATCTTCTGTAAAATGATACACAGAACAAGATCAAAAGAAAATGGGGCTAATCTATCCAATACTGAAATATGCTCATTCTCTTCTACTTGAGGCATCTGGGAATGGGGTGTAGGAGAGGACAGAGAATTATTCTCACTGAAGCAAAACTCACATTATGGTTTGGAAATCATCGTCCACCAGGATCATGTCCGCTGCCTCTTTGCAAACATCTGTGCCGGTCTGGCCCATCGCGATCCCGATGTCTGCAGCCTTCAGGGCAACGGCGTCATTTACTCCATCGCCTGTCATGGCTACCACCGACCCAGTCTTCTGCAGAGACTGAAGGGGAGCAGAGAAGAGGGTGGAGAGGAGAAGTACGCACAAAACCCCTGCTTCCAGACAGACAGCAGCAAACACAAATGCTCTCAATTTTTTTATATACATTATTAAAACCAAAAAATAATACAGTTCAATAAACTTAAATGAATGAAGGGCTTAATCAGATAAAGCTTAGAAGACATTGTTACTTAGACTATGCCATCCATGAACGGAACACTCTATATAATGTAAAATGTTACCTAATGTTACATTTCTGTATCGTATTCTCATTGCTGAGTAACAGACAGCTATATTTCACTACATAATCTAAGTTACCATACCTTTTAAATACTGTTCACACACTCATACAACTTTTTTGTTGCATTTATTCTGGTTCTAGTTATTGAATTTGCACTGAGATGATTTGGACCCCAACAAGAACATATTTCTAAGTCAGGCACCAGTGGCTCATGCCTGTAATCCTAGCTAACCGAGGCTGAGATCTGAGGATTATGGTTCAATGCCAGCCCAGACAGGAAAGTCCGTGAGACTCTAATCTCAAATAAACCACCAGAGAACTGCAAGTGGTACTGTGGCTCAAGTGGTAGAGTGCTTGCCTTGAGCTGAAGAGCTGACAGACAGCGCCCAGGCCCTGTGTTCAAGCCCCAGGACAAAAAAAAAAAGAACCTTTTTCTATACTTTTTAATCACTCCTACATCTCCTTATGCTAACTAAATTCTCTATTAGATTTCTATGTCAAGCTCTTTAAAAAATTTTTGCTTGTTTTGATTTTACTACACTGACTGTAACACTCTATATATATTCCTTCAAATACAAACCAACGAAGCAGCATTCTGTGTAAAACAATTTTGAATTCTGGACACTTACTTTAATAATTTTCATCTTGTGCCTCGGACTAGCTCTGTAAAATACTGCGACCTGTAAACACACGGGACACAATTAAAAATGTGAACGTCAGAATAACCCATGCTTTCGTAGCTAATGATATTTTACTGACCAGCTTAAACTGTATTTAATCCGGCACAGAAATGAATAAGCATCAATGCCTTATATTTACCTAGACACTCATTGGATACAGTCATTTCAGCCTTTACCAAAGGAAAGGTTGGGTTTATCATAGCAAATACATCATTTAAACCAGAAGCTCAATTTGTACCACTGGGTTTCACTGCACATTGTTGCAGTGGTCCAGAGATGGAAAAGGAAAAAGTTTCCAGCATCTGTGCCTTCCTCGAAGTGGGGCACAACGAAAGCTTCCTTGCCCTCTGTTCTGCCTTCACGGAGATGAAGAGCAGCCGCCTCTCTATGTCTGCAGGGCATCTGCCATTTTGCTGCTTCACTTTTACATAAGGTAATTCTTTACTGCCCTTTCTACTGTAGGTCCAAAACATACTCCTCCAACAGTATTTTTTTTTTTTTTGCCAGTTCTGGGGCTTGAACTCAGGGCCTGGGCGCTGTCCCTGAGTTTCTTTTGCTCAAGGCTAGCACTCTACCACTTGAGCCACTGCTCCAGTGCTAGTCTTTTCTGTGTATGTGGCACTGAGGAATGGAACCCAGGGGCTCCATGCATATGAGGCAAGCACACTACCACTAAGCCACATCCCCAGCCCCTTCTCCAACTGTATTTAATCTCTTTTTCTGACACTGTCTGTTTTGGGGTCCTAAAGACCTTTCACGGTGCCCTGTATCTACCAGAAACAAGCTAAGTGAAAATTGTAATTATTCAGAAATTAATCATGAAATATACGGCACTGAAATTATACCTGGATTATACCAAATATAAATAAAAGGCCAATTACAAATGCTGGCATTAAACTGAGTAAAATTTTGTCTTTATTCCACTTAATTTGGGATTTTGTTTTTATCATTACTGGGGCTTAAATACAAGGCCTCAGAGTTTTGAGGTATATACTTCAGCCATGCTCCTATCGCTTTAGTAATTTACCAAGTATGGATCTGAGATTTTCCTCGGGCCTGTCTCAATCTATAATCCTCCTCACCTGTGTTACCTAGTAGGTGGGATGACAGCATGTTTGATGAGATGGGGGATCTCAGTAACTTTTTTCCCAGGGTGACCCTTGATCCTCTGGATCTCAACCTCCTGAAGAGCTAAAACTACAGGTGTAAACCACTGCATCTGGCTCATAATTTAATTTTTGATCCTACCCAATCACTTCTTTATAAACTGTGTGTTACCAAAATGGACAAGCCACTAACTGTTGGGCTTGTGAAGTCTTATTTCTTTTATGTAACAGCAAATTACTTAGCATGCATCTTGTATAGCTATCACTTTGATGTACGATTTTAGCATTTCAAAGCTTTTGATAGCACCTTGAAAATAAGAAGAACTGCTCTGAGACCAAGTAGCTCTCAATGACAAGCAGAGCAATCAGCTGGCCTTTTATGTATGGGACACAGCACCTCGTAGAGTAAAATTTGTTCTTAGGGCATCAGCACAAACAAGTCAACCCTACTGAGTTAAAAACACTGAAATTTAATCATCATAAAATGAAAGCCTAAAGATACCAGATTCAAAACAAACATGCATGAGAAATTAATAAAATTATTCTGATGTCAACATTTTTAAAATGTCCTATATTTTTAGCAGGTTGCAGTACTTTACAGAATATGAAATTAAAAATATTGGCCAAGCACTGGTGGCTCATGCCTGTCAGACTAGCTACTCAGGAGGGTGAGATCTGAGGATTGTGGTTGGAAGCCAGCCCCAGCAGGAAAGGCCATGAGACTCTTATCTCCAAATCAGGGCCAAGAAGAACCAGAAATAGAGCTGTGGCTCAAGTGGTAGAGCATTAGCCGTGAGCACAAAGCTCAAGGACAAGTGCCCAGGCCCATAATTCAAGCCCTAAGGGGAGTTCAGTTATTTCTACTCTTAACTTTTAAAACAGTGATGGTAGATGAATAGAAAATAATGATAAAGGCCAAGTGTCTGTGGTTCACTCCTATAATCCTAGCTACTCAAACTGAGATCTGGAGGATCATGGTAAGAAGCCAATCTAGACAGAAAAGTCCTTGAGGCTTTATCTAAAATAACCACCTGCAAAAAGCTAGCCTGGAGGTAAGCTTCAAGTAATAGAACACCAGCATAGGAAGTATGAGGCCCTGAGTTTACAGCCTGGACAAGAAAAGAAAGGAGGAGAGGGGAGAGGGGAACAGGGGAGGGAGAGGGAAAAACTATGAAATAAATACTTAAAAGTGTAAAATTTTTATGTAAGGCACACAGGAAAAAAAATCTCTGTGACTGGGTTAGGCAAAGCTCTTGGATAAAAGACAGAATAAACCATACTTCAGCAAGTTAACAACTTTTACTCCGTGGAAGACAAATGTGATGACAACCTGGGCTATACAGTAAGACTGCCTAAAAATAGAAAGTTAAAATGTACAGGACACACACATACAGAGTGTGCGTGGAAGATACTCTTAGGAGAGGAATTCAACAGAGATGCAAGGCCCATGTGCATCTGATCATATAAAGTAATACTTATCCAAATGAACTCTAGGGAATGGAAACAGGAGGATTTTTTTTCGTCGTTGCTGTTTTTGTTTCCTTTGTCTTGTTTGATCATTTGTCTGTCTTAAGGAGGGTAAAGGGGGTCACAGATATGGAGGGGAAAAGAGTGAATAAATGCTGCAGTGGTACTCACTAGATACCATGTGGAACAATACAACTTGTGGGTGGGGACAGGAGGGGAAAACTGGGAGAGAGCAAGGGAAGGGATGACATCATCCAAAGAGAAGTATACTCTTTACCCGACATATAACAGTAGCCCCCTGGGCTGGGAAGGTGGCTCAGTGGTAGAGCGCTTGCCTTGCATGCCTGAGGCCCTGGGTTCCATTCCTCAGCACCACATAAGCAAAAAGAAAAAAGCCAGAAGTGGCACTGTGGCTCAAGTGGTAGAGCGCTAGCCTTGAGCTGAAGAGCTGAGGGACAGCGCCCAGACCCAGAGTTCAGGCCCCACGACTGGACCCAAAAAAAAAAAGAGAAACAAAGATGCTCCTGACCGACACTGAGTGTGAGGTTTTATAACCAATAAAACCTTCAGATTCAACCCCTCTCTGGATGGGGCCTCAAATCTGTCTTGCAAGAAGCCTGGTCGTCCCCCTGCACTGCTTTATCTACTGGCAAGAACCAATGTCACAGTGCTGGCTCTCCATCCCAATGCCCTTTGTAGCTTTTTCCAAATATCCAAGATACTTTTAAACGACTCACAATTCCACAGGTGAGTGCTTTTTGTTTGCTACTGTAGTGTTTCTGCTCTCTCTAGCATTTGAGGGTCTTGTGGAAATCCCTCGATGCAGCCGAGTGAGCCATCTTCCTTTCTACTCAGCTATCTTTCATGTCAGCCACGTTAGTTAACATGTGAGCCAAAATCCAGTCTATGCTTATCCCTATATGCTTTCATTCCAGATCCTTCCATCAGCTTGACCCCCCTTCCCCTTCTGAGCCCTAGAAGCCCTCCTCCTAGCTCTGAATTTACACTGTGCTTACACATGGCTCAAGATGTTGGATGTAACTGAGTCTACTTTCATTTATTTAAAAAATATCAGTATTTAACTCCACTCTAAAATGACCTCATATAAGGTGGTTTTGCACTTCACCTCTTCAAGAAGCTAAAACTTTGTTAAGCATGATACAGGAAATAGTCGGTCTCTGAGTCACTGTTTTGCGTATCTTTTTGGTTACCTTTTTGTGGGGTAAAGGGAGGAGTTCTGGGATGTTTAAAATCCACACCTTGTGCTTCCTATGCAAGTATGCTTCCCCTTACGTCCCATCACTTTTTGCTTTATTTATTTTTTTTGCCAGTCCTGGGGCTTGAACTCAGGGCCTAGGTGCTGTCCCTAAGCTTCTTTTGCCCAAAGCTAGCACTCTACCACTTGAGCCATAGGGCCACTTCCAGCTTTTTCTGTGAAAGTGGCACTGAGGACTCAAACCCAGGGATTCATGCATGCTGGGCAAGCACTCTACCAGCAAGCCACATTCTCAACACTTTAGTTTAAGAAAAGGTCTCATGTTTTCGCCCAGGGCCAACCTTACACGGTGATTCTCCTACTTGTTTCCTAGTTAGCTGGGATCAGTTGTACACCACAATGTCCAACCCCTTGAGCATCCTTTAAAACACTATACTGAGCCAGGCATAATTCATGTCAATAATCACATCTACCCAAGAAGCTGTTAGGAGGATCATGGTTTGAGGCCAGCTTAGACAAAAGGTAGCAAGACCTTATCTCAAGAACAAGCCAAGCATGTTGGCTACTTTCCCAAGCAGATGTAGGAGGATCATGGCTCACGGCCAGTCTGAGCAAAAGTTAGTAACACCTATCTCAAATACAAACCAGACATGATAATGCACACATATAATTCAAGCAAGGCCAGAAGTAAAGGCAATAAATTAATAGGCCGAAAGCACAAGACTCGATCTCAACAACAAACTAAAAGCAGAAGGGCTTGAGGGCATGGCTCAAGTAGACGTGTTTGCCTACCACGCACAACAAATCCCTGTGTTCAGTCCCCAGCAGCCTCCTCTGCTCCCCCAAAAAAGAGGTTGTATGTTTTAGTTACAAGGAGACCAAATGATTACCAAAAAAAAAAAAAAAAAAGAGTGCTCTATAGAAGAAACAAATATCCTGTCATCAGGCTTGATGATGGTGAACACAGAGTTAGTGTATTTGCCTAGCCTGTAAAAAGCCTGGGTTTGAGTCTCAGAATCATGAAAATAAGTGAGTGAATGAACAAATAAGTGAATTTGCTTACTTCATCCAATTTAATACTATAATAATCTGCAATTCTATATTGGTTCCCATTTCCAGTAACCTCATTTTAGAAGTACCCTGCTTCACAAGTCTCATGCTTTCTCAAACTACGGAGAACAGCATTCCCACCAACACACATGATAATTTGCATTCATTTTTAGACACTGCTACAGGAAAAGGGAAGACAGAAATTATCTTTACATGGGAATAATGCAGAATGTTGCCTTTTAATCACATAAAAGTTACCATTTATCAGCAACTGGCCATAATGATAGAGCTTTTCACGGACAGACCTCAATATTAAAGAATATAATTTCCTAAAAGAACAAATCCATCCCTGGTCATGACTCTATTCCATGCGTTGAAGGAAGAAGGTTATACTAAAAAGTCATATGCTCTGTATTTACGGAAATCAAACTGGTCCCCAAAAGGCAATAAACACAATGAAATGTGAATCTTCTCCTCTAGATATCTAAAAAAAAAAAAACCCAGTTATACTAAATTCATTGGCCTTACATTCTGTTATCAGGGGATGTCTCCTATGTCGAAGAAATCGCACATACCTTCATTGCCAGAGCAATTAAGGCTCCTTCGGTTGGCTTTCCCATGAGAGTGTTGTTCCTAATCACAGCATCGTTGCACACACAGCCGGCCTAAGAGAAATGCGTACACTCCATGAACCTAACACTCAATTTTAAATCATGACCACGAAAGTTACCTTCTTGCAGAATAAAATCCTACCTCAACAATTCTGCTAACAGCTGGGTTATAGAATCCATGAACCACGTCACCATCGACAATCACTTCCCCAAACTGATTGTAGCCAACTCCAGTAACCTATAAAACAGGAAATGGGGGTGACGGTACAAATATCAGACAGAGGAGCCACACACTCCCCTGCACTGTGCTCATTCACGTCACTTTCTACAACCTGACATTGGCAGAGAAGGTATTGAGCCGTGAAAAGTATCTGAAAGAATATTCGGTGGCTGGGAATGTGGCTTAGTAGTAGAGTGCTTGCCTAGCATGCCTGAAGCCCTAAGTTCGATTCCTCAGTACCACATATACAGAAAAAGCCAGAAGTGACACTGTGGCTTAAGTGGTAGGAGGCTAGACTTAAGTACAGATAGGCTCAGGGACAGCATCCAGGCCCCGAGTTCTAGCCCCAGGGCCAGGAAAAAAAAAAAGCTCAGTGACATCACCCAGGGTGGGCTCAAGACTCGTGACCAACCGAAAAAAAAAAAAAGAATATTTGTAGCCAGGCACTGGTGGCTCATGCCTATAATCCTAGCTATTCAGGAGGCTGAGATCTGAGGATCACAGTTCAAAGCCAGCCCGGGCAGGAAAGTCCACGAGATTCCTATCTCCAATAAACCACTAGAAAATGGGAAGTGGCACTGTGGCTCAAGTGTAGAGTGCTTGCCTTGAGCTGAAGAGCACAGGGACAACGCCCCAAGACCAAAAAAAGAGTATTTGTTAGTAATTAGACCAAATATAGACTTCACTTTCAGCTAGTGATGAACTTAAGCAGATAATGTCCTCTGCTTACAATATAAAACTGACAGGTAAATCATGAAAATCTCGATACGGAACTTAATTTAAACACACATATTTATTCCTCTAACATATTAACATTCACAAGGAACTCAAAGCAATTACCCTACATCTAACATTTAAACCAACCTACTAAAAGTAACCTCAAAAAAAGCAAACTGTTGGTGGGAAAACACACTTAAAATTATAAGTACCTCAGCATGCACTCCATCTGAAGTGAATATGTGAGTGACGGTCATCTCATTCTTCGTAAGTGTTCCAGTTTTATCTGAACAAATCACATTGCAGCAGCCTAAAGAACAAATCATTGTGTGTCATCAAAGGAACCAAAGAGAAAAACGAGTTGAATCAGAAAATAAATCAGACTAGAACCTTGTCCTAGTTCTCTGAATTTTACTGAGAACTCCTCTGATCATTTAAATTTTTCACATTATGCTTGGTTCGTCATAAGGTAAAGTTTCTGAAATTAAAGATAAAAACTCAATTTCTTATTATTTAAGTTTCTACAGTCACTTCGTATTACTTTATATAACAATTTTATAGAACATAATTGGGGAAGTTTGGAGGGTTTTGTTTTTTTTGTTTGTTTTTTTTTGGTTGGTTGTGGGGCTTGAACTCTGGGCCTAGGCAAGGTCCCTCAGCTCTTCAGCTTAAGCCTAGCACTCTACCACTGGAGCCACAGCACCACTTCTGGTTTTCTGGTGGTGGTTTATTGGAGATAAGAGTCTCACGGACTTTCCTGCTCAGGCTGGCTTTGAACCATGATTCTCAGATCTCAGGCTCCTGAGTAGCTAGGATGACAGGCATGAGCACCAGCGCCTGACTCTGGAGGATTCTTTTTCTGCTTATGTGGTGCTGAGGAATGGAACCCAGGCCTCATGCATGCAAGGCAAGCGCTCTACCATTGAGCCACCTTCCCAGATCTGGAGGATTCTTATATATAAACTCTGTAATTTTTTCAAAAACATTTTCCAAGATCTTTGACCTTCTCAATATTAAAATGCAAACTAGAAATTAAATTCAATACATTTTTGAATAGCCTCATTTTCTTAAAAAAACAAGCAAGTTTTACAGGACATCAGGAAGTTATGCTATAGCATTATAGATTGTATATATTTACTGTTCTTATAATCAAATTCAACTCAAGATGTGTAATAACAAATTATTTTCCTTGACATGTCAAAAAATACCACTATTGGGGCTGGGAAGGTGACTCAGTAGTAGAGCGCCTGCCTTGCATGCCTGAGGTCCTGGTTCAATTCCTCAACACCACATAAGCAAAAAGAAAAAAGCCAGAAGTGACGCTGTGGTTCAAGTAGTAGAGCGCTAGCCTTGAGCTGAAGAGCTGAGGGACAGCGCCCAGGCCCAGAGTTCAGGCCCCATGACCGGACCAAAAAAAAAAAGAATACCACTATTGGGCCAGGCGCCGGCGGCTCATACCTGTCATCCTAGCTACTCAGGAGGATGAGATCTGAGGATCACGGTTCAAAGCCAGCAGGAGCAACAAAGTCCATGAGACTCTGATCTCTAATAAACCACCAGAAAACCAGAAGTGGCGCTGTGGCTCAAGTGGTAGAGCGCTCGCCTTGAGCTGAAGGGCTGAGGGACAGCGTCCAGGCCCAGAGTTCAAGCCCCACAACCACCAAAAAATAAAACTATTAATTTTACTTTTAAGATTTTAGTTGCCAGATGGTATTTTAGAATTATCTTTAGCATTAGAACATTCCATAAGGTACAAGGCCAAGCTTCCTGGTGGCCTGGCTCCGAGTGTCGTTGCGCAATGTGTCTTCCTTACCCAGGGTTTCCACAATAGGCAGCTTCTTCACAATGGCTCTCTTCTTCACCATTCTCATGACTCCAAGGGCCAGCGTCACCGTGACCACAATGGGCAGCCCTTCAGGAATCGCAGCTACAGCCAAACTATAACCAACACACACACATACTGTCAGCTTACATGGCTACAACTGCAATCATTTGAAGGGGACACTGGAGGCTATACAATGTGAAATTCAAACAGCTTGGCTCTCAAAATTGGAACTTTGCAAAGAGGGAAGAGAGGCTGCGTTACTGAATATCGAGTAGCACATCATTAAACAATATAGGGTCCACAATGAAATTTCATTGTTTTGTATCCCAGGCTTCACCTCGTTCTAACTCGTGTGTGATCTGGGTAACTGGCTGCTTATTGATCCACCTCTAGAGTTTAGTTTCCTGGTCCCTAAAGTATGGTAAGAACAGGGCTGGGAATGTGGCTTAGTGGTAGAGTGCTTGTCTTGCATGCATGGAGCCCTGGGTTTGACTCCTCTGGTAAAGTGCTTGTCTTGCTTGTATGGAGCCCTGGATTCGACTCCTTGGAACCACATACACAGAAAAAGCCAGAAGTGGCACTGTGGCTCAACTGGTAACTAGCCTTGAGCGAAAGAAGCTCAGGGACAGTGCCCAGGCCCTGAGTTCAAACCCCTGGACTGGCCAAAAAAGAAGAAGAAGAAGAAGAAAAAAGAAAAAAGTATGGTAAAAACAGATATTTTTTTTTAAAACAAAAAAAAGGTAATGAATGTTTGTAGCAACATTATTCACAATGCCTATCAACTGATGAATGCCTAAAATTGTGATATCCTTAAAATGCAGTTACATTCAGTCATGAAAAGAAATCTTCTTGGCATGTGCTATCTGGATGCTGTAGCATTACAAGCAATACAAAAATACGACACAGGGAGGGAGCTGCAGGCAGCCCGTGAGACGTCTGTGTGTCCGTCCTACCTCCTACCAAATGATTTCTCAGGTCTAACACAGCCTGACAGGGTAAGTACAAAACAGTCCCCACTCCTGCTTTAGAGTAAGTGGATTGTTTCTCTTTGTCTGTAGAAATACAATGTGTTCCCTCATCAATTCAGGAGGATGAGACAATTCACAATACTGACAAGGACTCATGGTCCTGAGATTTTAATTATATGCTTAATTTCACTCCATTATCAGCCCACAATGCTTCCATCTAGTTCTCTGCATTCATCTATTGATTTGTGTAATAACTGTGAAGCCTTCTCTGTCAATTATCCTCTTTTTCATTATGTGGAAAGTAGAAAATCCTGAATCTTCACCTTCGCTCAATGAATACTATAACAACAATTTTTTTTAAAAAAAGAAAGAAACCTACAAAGATTGTGTCTCCAGACTTCTTTTACATCTTTTTTTAAGTCAATGATGTGATAATTTGGCCAACACAAAAAGGATGACGGATAGTGACAATTTTTTTGAGGGGGGACGGAGGGGGTCAGTCATGGAGCATGAACTCTGGGCTTGGGTGCTGTCCATGGGCTCTTCAGCTCAAGGCAAGCATTCTACCACTTAAGCCACAGCGCCACTTCTGGTTTTCTGGTGGTTCACTGGAGATAGTCTCATGGACTTTCCTGCCCAGGCTGGCTTCGAACTGTGATCTTCAGATCTCAGCCTCCTGAGTAGCTAGGATGACAGGGGAGAGCCACTGGTGCCCGCAATGACAATCTATTTTATCACTGCATCAACCTTCCAGGAAATGTCATCCTTCTACAGTCTTATTTAGTACATTTGAAAATAAATATTAAAATAATTCTTAGGGTAATGAGATACCAAGATATTTCAAGAAATAGGAAAAATTAGATGATCAGCTATCCAATATTGTATTTGAAACTTATAAAGTAGTCCAATGGATCCACATTATAATCACAAAATTAAATGACTTTTTTCCTATCAGTATTCTTAAATTTCATATCTAAAGACCTTGAAGAAAAAGCATAAAGGTCATATGTTTGTCGATCTTTACAAACAGTTGAAATCACTCAAAACAAAATCCTCAAAACTCTAATTGGGTCTAATTATGTCAACAGTATTTAAAACTCATGCCCCATGTTTTTAATTAATTTTATTTATTTATTTAGCTAGTTAGTTAGTGGTCATGGGCTTTAACTGGGCCTGGGCGCTGTTCCTCACCAGTTCAGCTCAAGGCTAGAGCTCCACCTCTTGAGCCACAGCGCCACTTCTGGTTTTTTGAGTGGTTTATTGGAAATAAGAGTCTCACAGACTTTCCTGCCTGGGCTGGCTTTGAACCACAATCCTCAGATCGCAGCCTCCTGAATAGCTAGGATTAATTGGCTGCAGTCCTGGGGCTTGAACCTCAAGATCTGGGTGCTGTCCCTGACTTTTTTTGCTCAAGGCTAACACACAATCACTTGAACCCAGCTCCACTTCCAGCTTTTGGTGGTTAATTGGAGACAGGAGTCTCACAGACTTTGATACTGCTGGCTCCAAACCACAATTCTCAGATCGCAGCCTCCTGAGAAGCTAGGATGATAAGCATAAGCTACTGGCACCCGGCTAACTCCTATTTTTAACCCCTATTTTATACCTATTTTTAAACCACACACTTCAAAAATGTACTTCTGCTCCTCTATGTAATGTATTCCTTTCCTACACCACAGTACTTTTCACTTCTTAAGTCTTTCTGCCTATTTCTTTAATCTTTTCAATTTGTCTTGAAATACATGTATTTTTGTTCTAATATTTTAACTTTTACTTCCTAGGCCTTGGAGGAGATGCCACCTGCGATCTCTCTCCTGTAGGATGCCTGAGGTGAGTGTTATGTGATTCTGGGTTAGTAATTCCAGGCATCTAGTGCCTATTTTCTTCTCTAGCATTTAGGTAGATTTGTACTTTCCTTTCAGGTCACTTCTCATGGGTTTTCAACTATTTAAGTAGAGGTATTATATTCATATGGGCTTCATGTAATACTCCATAATGAAAGGTAAGCTAAGTCTAGCAAAGAAATAAGAGAGGCAAAGAAATTTCACTTACAGACAAGGTGTAAGAACTTACCTTACACTAATAGTAAACATTTCCAGAATGTCTTTTCCTAGCAACCAGCCGACCAACATGATGATACCTAGAACAAAACCAAATAGCTAGTTTTTTTCCTTCCTTAAAAAAACCACCTATAAGAGATAAAATAACAAATCGAGGTGCCTTGAATTAAAAGAGAGTATTATAATAACAAGACTTTTATAAAACTCCATTAAGCTGGGGGATAAAAGTTAACACTGGTCTAAAGTAATGCTGTCCATGTACATAGCACATGCAGAAACCTTTGGTTCCAGGCATTGCATTCATCCCTCAAAACAATAGTATGTTCCAAGAAAATACTACCACTAATGAAAACAAAGAAGCAGACCAAGACAGCATGTGGAGCTTCCATTTGCCAGCAAAGTTGCAAAAACAAATGCTATGATCTTATTTTGTATAACTCAATACCAGAAGTCACTTGTGAAGTTTGTACTGCATGTGACCTGGCTCAAAGTATGATATAATGTGTAACCCTGGAACTGCAGTGACATTTAAAAACAACTATGGGCGTGGCATTTTAAAACACTTAAAAGCAAACTAATCATGATCTGTGCTCCCTACTTTAACCTTTTTATCATAAAATGGGTAAAATGTATACCACCAAATTTATTAGGAACAAGAACATACTGCATTATCAGAGGTTTGATAAAAGGCAGTAACAATGCTCAAAAGGTCCAAAATCGAAAACTACATGAACAACCATTGACTCAATAATTTTGCTTCTAAAAATTTAAGGAAATGACAAATGTTTACAACAAGGTATCTACACTGAAGAATAGCTTGTGTGAGGAAAAATAATCTGAAAAGATGGTCATATTATAGATTTGTAAAATGCAACCTTTGAATTTGTTCTAGGTGAGCATCTGTTGAATAACTGGGGGAAAAGCCAGCCTGGAGGTGTGGCTTCAATGGAAGTGCTCCAGTCAAGCAAGCAAGCTAAGAAAGCACAAGGCCCCAGGTTCAAGCCTTGGGACCAGCACAAAAAACAAACAAACAAAGAAAAAACCCAAGTGAAAATATAATACATACATACTCACTCTTCTCTTACCTATTATACCAAAGGAGTAAAAGGACAGCTGCTTTCCCAAGAGGTCCATGCTCTTCTGCAGAGGGGTTTTTGGTGCCTTTACAAATTTAGAAAAGAGTGTCACCCCAATTAGCTCCAAGCACAATTACGGGAAAAGTAACTAACAAGGGGCAGGGCGCATGGCTCAAGTGTCAGTAAGCAAGGAAGATCCGAGAATCATAGGAGAGGGGGAATTTTATCCTTAGTTCCCTTAGGACAAGAGTATCTTACAGGTCCTTTGTCAATCCCACATACACACTTGGAGAGTTTACAACAATACACAAAAAAGCTATTAAATAAATTTCTGCTGTAAATGAATCAAAATCACAATCTTCTAAGAATACTGGAAGTGTAAATTCAGGCCCTTCCTTGATTTTTTTTCAAGTTTGCTTATGATTTATCTGAATTTTATTTTTCATATTTTATTCCACATATTTTTGCATTATTTTTTATATTCTAGGAATACCAGTTCTAAGCAAAAGCTGAGTGATATTCTGAATAAAGCATTTTTTTCTAGAATATCTAAGAGCCCATAAATGTTCTCTTTTCCTCTAGAGAATTCCAGCTTTGAGAGAAATATATCATTCACGAATCAAGTACTCACCTCCTCTGCTTGCATCATTTTAAAAACCTCTCCAAATTCAGAATTTTCTCCAGTTCCAATGACAATACCCTAAGAGGAAAGTCCAGAAAAATCCATTGACATTCAGATGGAATCAATTCTCCCAACCAAAGGCATTTAAAAAGCAAAAAGCCAAAAGAAAAAAAAAAAAAAAAAGTAAAAAGCCTTTCATTTCCTTTCTTCAGAGTCTTTACCCACAGACCTGACATAGACATCCTAAGGTTCCCTCAGCAAATTGATTTTTTATATTCCTATCATTAATAATTATATTTCATATATTATATATCATATTATATATTACACATTTCATATATTCATATATATTACATTTCACCATATTTAATACTGAATTCTGAGACTCATTTTTGCCCATTAATATTTGCAGAAATTCAAATCTCATACTCAATAGATGACAGTCTGTAATTTCTTGTCCCCTCCTATGTTGCTGAATGCTATTCTCAGTCAAATTTGAGAATCCAGGAAACAAAATAATTGAAATCAACCAATGGGTCAATAATGTGATTAGAATATTATAATCAGGCAAGGCACCGGTGGCTCATGCCTATAATACTAGCTACTCAGGCAGCTGAGATCTGAAGATCATGGTTCAAAGCCAGCCCGGGCAGCAAAGTCTGGGATTGTCTTATCTCCAATAAACCACTTGAAAACCAGAAGTGGCGCTGTGGCTCAAGTGGTAGAGCGCTTGGCTTGAGCTGAAGAGCTGAGGGACAGCGCCCAGGCCCAAAGTTCAAGCCCCACAAACGACCAAAAAAAATTAAACAAAAACAAAAAACATTATAATCAGTATCTAAACTAGATTCAAATCTTAACTATAATAGAAGTGCACATACCCATGAGCCACTGTTTCTCTTCGAAAAAAAAGATAGTGAGGACTAAACCTTATTTAACCCATGACAAAACTATCAATAAGTTATATTTCATACATCTGTATTTTGGGGATATAGATTTTCTCCAATCTCACACACAGCAGTCCAGTGTCAGAATCAAGTCTGCCTTTTCTTTGCCACATGCTTTTTTAAAAACAATATACAGCCAGGCGCCGGTGGGCTCACACCTGTCATCCTAGCTACGCAGGAGGCTGAGATCTGAAGATCATGGTTCAAAGCCTGCCCAGGCAGGAAAAGTCCATGAGAGTCTTATCTCCAATGAACCACCAGAAAACTGGAAGTGGTGCTGTGGCTCAAGTGGTAGAGCGCTCGCCTTGAGCTCAAGAGCTAAGGGACAGCGCCCAGGCCCACACAGTTCAAGCCCCATGACTGACTGACTAAATAAATAAATACAATATACATAAAATTAGCAAATGAATATACAGAAAATCATTTTTTAAAAAAACAACAAAACAGCCTTTTTCAAAAGAAGAAAGAAAATCACCTTTGCTTTGCCACATCGGACCAGAGTTCCCATGAAGGCAATGTTACTTCTTGAGGCGAGATCTCCATTAGTGGCTGCTGGCTGGGGAGCTGTTACCTTAGAGCAAGGTGTTGTCTCTCCTGTCAAGCTAGACTCATCAATGGAAAGGTCCACAGCCTAGGGGACAGAGGCATTCCATAAACACAGACCTGAGCTGCATGTCATTGCTCATAAGCACCATTTTTAATTCAAATATCACCACTGCTTTAACTATGTCTTTCATCTTTTATTCACTACTCAAGACCAGAAGCAGTTCAGTCAAAAAAAAAAAAATTTAATGAAGCAACAAAGTCTGAGACCTGAAAAAACACGATGCTATGATACGGTAAGACCACATTAAACTGAAATTCAAAGTACAATGAAGGAAGCTGGGTGCTGGTGGCCCACACCTGTCATCCTAGCTACTCAGGAGGCTGAGATCTGAGGAGCACGGTTCAAAGCCAGACACGGCAGCAAAGTCCATGAGACTCTTACATTCAATAAACTACCAATAAAGCTGGAAATGGAGCTGTAGTTCAAGTGGTAAGGCACTATAGCCTTGAGCGCAAAAGCTGAGGGACAGATCCCAGGCTGAGCACAAGCCCCACGACCAGCAAAAAGAAAGAGGAAAAATACACAAAGGAGACATTATCTAAGACTCCATAGAAAGAAAACTTCCCTTGTTTTTGTCATACTTCCTAATGTTCTGGAAGTGTGTTTGGCAGATTCAAGCCAACTCTAACAAAAAGATGATACAGGAGTGAAAGGTACTAAAAGTGACAAGCCTTATTAAGGGCTCTGTTTTCACAGACTTCTTGTTCTACACCCCTACCTTTATTCCAAATTAAAGTTTGCAAGAATCCATGCAGATTACCACTACCAAAGTACCTTTTGACTTTACAACAGCGGTCAATTCTGAGGATTTCACTTACAGTATAATGAAGTATCTATTTACCTACCCAAGCTTAAAAAAAAATCATTTTATATATAGAAAATGCTATAGGTGTGACCTGCCTCTTTCCAAAAGTATAGCGCACAGATGGATGAACTTAAGCATGGGGTGTAATATAACAGATGACTAACTGGTAGATACACACGAAGTCGGTTATATCCTTAAGCCTGAAGCCTGACAGAAGTAAAGCCATTTCATGCCCCAAGGAAAATGGTCCCCTGACCCCAGAACTGTGGTTTGCTCAAGCAGGTTTTGCAAAAAGCTGTTTGCTCATCAAGTTCTGCAATTCCCCAAAAATGTGCCAGCCCCCCAGGAATCCAGGAAGTTAAGTCTGTATTTACTGATAATGCTTAATTTCACTTCTGTATCAGCTTTGCTAAACAAAGAAAAAAAATGCAGTTTGTGTCTTTAAAAGACTAACTCTGAGGGCTAGGAAGGTGGCTTAGTGGTAGAGTGCTTGCCTTGCATGCATGGGGCCCTCGGTTCAATTCCTCAGCACCACATAAGCAAAAAAAGCCAAAAGTGGCATTGTGGCTCAAGTGGTAGAGCGCTAGCCTTGAGCTGAAGAGCTGAGGGACAGCGCCCAGGCCCAGAGTTCAAGACCCATGACTGACAAAAAAACAAACAACAAAAAAAGACTAACTCTGAGCTATCTCAGTGCTGCACAATTTGGGAAGTCTGTACAGCCGCAGGCCTGTGGAGGCAACTATAAAGATTCCTATAATTCGGCTTATTAATTGTGGCGTTCTTTGTTTTTCTGCTGATTGGGATACAACACATACACACATACATACCCAGACAGACGGGGGGAGGACACTGGATCTAATTAAGTTTTAGAAATGCGTTAATAGCTAAACAGCTATCCTTATTGCAGTACTATTCAAAACCTTCACTACATTAGTGTCAATCACCTTAAGAGGATACAGAAACAGCAGGGCTTCTCAAAGTGCAATCCCATCACTTTCTATAGGAAGAAAGAATAGAAAGTCACCTTTATTTCTCCCAACTGTCATGGGGCTGGAACTCAAGGCCTGGGCGCTGTCCCTGAGCTTTTTTCACACAAGGCTTAGCGCTCTACCACTTTGAGCCACAGTGCCACTTCTGGTTTTCTGGAGACTAAGTGGAGTTAAGAGTCTCAGAGTCTCACAGACTTTCCTGCCCAGGCTGGCTTTGACATGTGATCCTCAAGACCTCAGCCTCTTAAGTAGCTAAGGTTATAAGCATGGGCTTCTGGCACACCAGACTTTTAAAAAGAAAAGAAAGATAAGGCTTCATTGACCTTATTGGTGAGCTAGCTCCTCTGTTTTTAGCCTTAGCAGAACAATTTGAGAGAACTTTTAGTTAAATCAGACTTTTCTAGCAAAGAAACTATACTTGTCTAATACAAAAGAAAAGTTGATAGAGAAGCGTGGGCCCCTTGGGGGAAGGAGGAGGGTTTCTATATGACTATAAATTCATAATGAAAATTCACATTATCACAAAAATATAAATAATAGCATTCACTGCCCAAAACTGCACAGACTATTTTCTAATCCAGGCACCAGCAGCTCATGCCTATAATCTTAGCTACTCAGGAGACTTGAAACCAGCCCAAGCAGGAAAGTCCATTTAGATACTTATCTCTGATAAATCACATACACACACAAAAAAACTGAAAGTGATACTGTGGCTCAAGTGGTAGAGTGCTAGCCTTGAGCAAAAGAAGTTCAGGGACAGTGCCCAGGGCCTGAGTTGAAGCCCCAGGACCAGCAAAAAATAAGAAAATAATATTTTCTATGTTGCCAAGTTATTTTCTCTTAATAGTGATGATGAGAGTTTTCACAAGCAGTTTGGGGGAAAGGAGAAAGAAGGTGACTATTTCTAACAAAAGAGATATTTAGTAAATGAGGCAAGCCTATCAGAGTGTAGCCAGGTCTCAGGCTGTGAGAGTCATTCTCTGATACCAACCACATCAAAAGCAACTTCTCTAAGTTTCCTAATCTATTCTTTGAACCTTTCTAACTCGACTGCTTCATCTTATTTTCTGGTGATTTATGTACACGTAAGTGTGCATCCTTATCATTAGAATTTTCTGTTTCCTATTCTACCTAATGTGTAAATTTCCATAAGATCTGCTGATTCTCTACATGGGTTATGTCATGAGATTTTATAGAAGGGATAGGTATATTTCCAGGAAAGCACATTGTTTGTATCTGTCCCTTTTTAAACTAAAAATATCAAATGTTTCAAATCAACTAGATGATAATCCTTAAAACTGCTACTGCTTATCTTGTAACTGACATGCAAGTAATTTCTCTTCTTACACATACAACCTCAAACTTACCTCAAACAAGCGTAAATCAGCAGGAACTCTGTCCCCCACAGAAAGGCAAACTGTGTCACCTGGAACCAAGTCTCGGGCAAGTGTATGCTCCAATTTTCCTTCCCGCACACTAAGCAAAACAGAAATGATAAGTCAAAGAAAGAAAGCCACGCTACTTATCTAAATCATTCCCAATGGCTTGTCTGAAGAAGAGCATCAATATCACCACTTTGAAGTCAGTAAGTCAAGTAGAAGGACTAAAATGAAGACTTGCTTATATGCTCTGATGACAGAAAATTCACTGAAAGAAGAGTTCAAATGTGGGCTGGGAAGGTGGCTCAGTGGTAGAGCACTTGCCTTGCATACATGAGGCCTGGGTTCGATTCCTCAGCACCACATAAGCAGAGAAAGCCGGAAGTGGGGCTGAGGCTCTAGTGGTAGAGTGCTAGTCTACAGCTGAAGAGCTGAGGGACAGTGCCCAGACCCAGAGTTCAGGCCCCATGACCGGACCCAAAAAAAAAAAAAGAGCTCAAATGTAAAATGTGAAACTAAAACAACATCCTTAATCGCGTGGGGATTTCAGCACTCTTCTCAGTACAATGATCAACATGCAGAAACACACGAAATATCTGTTGCATACAACCACCTCAGAAACATTAGCACTATTAGAACAAGTTGTTTGCTGGAAATAGACGTCACTGCAGTCCAGTCTCTTAATACATCAATCTAGAGAATCAGCTACACTGTTCGGAGCAGAAAATAAGTTTCATTTCAGACTAAGAATTTCTTCCTTAAATTGAGACAAACTGGGTTTACAACACTGCTTATACAGTCACATTCAGCTTGATCTTACAGGGATAGAAATCTTGCAGGGGAAAAAAAAAAAAAAAGACGGGTCATACCAATGGCATTCTGGTGGCATAAGTTTACTCAATTCTTCAAGAGATTTTTCTGAACGATATTCCTATTCAAAATGAAACAAAAGCAGGAATTAGTATTAATAAAACCCTCCCAAAAATTACATCTATATTCCCATGAACACATTCAATTTAGACTTGTATACTAATCTCAGGAAGAGATGAGACTTCCCAAATGCTTACCTTTTCCTTTACTTTAGCATTATTCCTAACCCATGCAAACATCCCTATTAGGGCTTGGAGATATGAGCTGCTCATACACATGGGTGGACAAGAAGTGAACTTTGTGTTGTCCTTTTCCTCTGTGCCTCCAATCAAAACTTAATGCTGTGGGTGGAGGCATGGCTCAGTTCGGAGAGTACCAGCAAATGAGCAAAAGCATCAGGTACCAAGTTTTGAGTTCATCTCAGAGTTCATACTATGGCTAGATGCTTAGAACATACTATCGTGGATGTTGAGTTCCAGTTGCTACAGAGAAATTTCATTTGCAGGTAGGAGTTAAGAGACACAGAAGAGGCTGGGCACCGGTGGCTCCTGCCTGTCCCTCCTAGCTACTCAGGAGGCTGAGATTCGAGGATCATGATGCAAAACCAGCCCAGGCAGGAAAGTCCTTGAGACTCTTATCTTCAATAAACCAATCAGAAAACCAGAAATGGCACTGTGGCTCAAGTGGTAGAGCGCTAGCCTTGAGCTAAAGGGTTCAGGGACAGCACATAGGCCTGGAGTTCAAGCCCCACAACTGACCCAAAAAAAAAGAGAGAGACAGAAGAGAATAAACTCAATCATACCACCATTTTTATTGAATCCATTTCTCTGATGGACAAGTTTTGAAGAACAGCTGCTAAAGCTGTTCCTGATTTCAACATGGCTGCTTTCACATTACAGTACCATAAAGATGAAGTAACTCAAGACATTTACAGACTTTCTGGCTTTTATAGGAGTGTTTCTAGTTTACAGAGAAGAAAAGGAAGGCTGATGGCTAGACTTAAAAGCTACAGTTTAGCCACATGCCTATATCCTAACTACTAAGGAGGCTGACATCTGAGGATCATGGTTCGATGCCAGCCCAAGCAGAAAAGTCCCCGTGAGACTCTTATCTCCAATGAACCACTCGAAAACTGGAAGTGGCGCTGTGGCTCAAAGTGGTAGAGTACTAGCATTCAGAACAAAGAGACCCAGGGACAGCATCCAGGCCCTGAGTTCAAGCCCCATGACCAAAATGAAAAAGAAAACTGAGGATCCTCCTTCCTTCCCCATGCATACAGCTTGCCTATGTCCAACTCATTGGGAGCAGATCCATGTCAGTCATCCTTCCTGGTCTGACAACAGTGTGAGATAGACCGCCATCACCAGCACTTTCTCCAGCGAGCTCTGTGTAAAGCTTTTGTGTGCTTACCACTCTTTTCCACATGGGTCAGAATTTCAGTCCCGTAACCTCCTTGGACCTCCATAGGACTTTCTTTTTGGAATACTTATCTAGCATTAACTTAATCAGCTGCCTGTCCCAAGATTTCTGACCCTCCTATGGTCATACCTTGTCCTTGCTGTAGGAATCAATCAAAAGATATCTCCTACTGAAAAGCTACTGGCGAAAATCAACACCTAATCTTCTATTTGCAGAACTTGTAACGATGTCTCCTGCTAGTCCAGGATTCTAGAAATCCCATTAAAGGCTTACTTTTCAAGGGCTGGGAAGGTGGCTCCGTGGTAGAGTGCTTGCCTTGTAAGCATGAGCCCCTGGGTTTGATTCCTCAGCATCACATAAACAGAAAAAGCCAGAAGTGGCGCTGTGGCTCAAGCGCTAGAGCGCTAGCCTTGAGCTGAAGAGCTGAGGAACAGCGCCCAGGCCCAGAGTTCAGGCCCCACAACCAACCAAAAAAAAAAAAAAAAAGCTTACTTTCACAAAATTATTTTTCTGGATAAACAACTGGGCTAACCTAGTGGATGTACTCTCAGAACTACCATGATTATTCATAAAAGATCAAAAGAATTACATGCTCAGTGATTCTTCATAGTTCTAGGAAGGTGGACAGGCTTTCTAGGCGAGTGTACCTCTATAATTTCTTTCTCCTGACAAAAACCTACTACCACTTACTACCACTGGGTGCCTGCCAGTGGCTCACACCTGTAATCCTAGCTACTCAGGAGGATGAGACCTGAGGATCACAGTTCAAAGCCAGTCTGGGAAGGAAACTCTGTGAGACTTTTTTTTTTTTTTGGGGGGGGGTCTGTCATGGGACTTGAACTCTGGGCCTGAGCGCTGTCCCTCAGCTCTTCAACTCAAGGCTAGCGCTCTACCACTTGAGCTACAGCACCAGTTCCAATTTTCTGGTGGTTAATTGGAGATAAGAGTTTCACGGACTTTCCTGCCCAGGCTGGCTTTGAACCGAGATCCTCAGATCTCAGCCTCTTGAGTAGCTAGGATTATAGGCGTGAGCCACTCTGTGAGACTCTTAACTCCAATAAACCCACTAGAAAACCAGAAGTGGCACTGTGGCTCAAGCAGTAAGAGCACTTGCCTTGAGCTGAAGAGTGCAGGGACAGTGCCCAAGCCGAGTTCAAGCCCCACAACTGACAAAAAAAATAATGGGGGGGGGGGGCCTGAGAATGTGGCTCAGTAGTAAAGAGCTTGTATAGTATGCATAAAGCCCTGGGTTTGATTCTTCAGTACCACATACACAGAAAAGACCAGAAGTGGTGGTATGGCTCAAGTAATACAGCACTAGCCTTGAGCAAAAAGACAGAGCCCAGGCCCTGAGTTCAAGCTGCAGGACTGGCAAAAAAAAAAAAAAGAAAAGAAAAGAAAAAAGTTCCCAATGTGTACTCATGACTGGATTTTTTGTTTTGTTCTGTTTTGAGGTTGTGGGGCTTGAACTCAGGGCCTGGGTGCTGTCCCTCAGTTCTTCAGCTCAAGGCGAGTGCTCTACCACTTGAGCCACAGCACCACTTCCAATTTTCTGGTGGTTAATGGGGTATAAGAGTTTCACAGACTTTCCTGCCCAGGCTGGCTTTGAACTGCAATCCTCAGATCTCAGCCTCCTGAGTAGCTAGGATGACAGGTGTGAGCCACCGGTGCCCAACATGACTGGATTTTTTTAAAGTGAAAATTGCTAAACTTTTTAATGTGGCTACTCTAGCTTTGAAGAATGAACCATAAGCTATGTGCTTTCCTTTATTAATGCACAATTTATTATTACTTTTGGAATGTGAGTAAAATGACAAAAAAGCAAACAATTACAATTCTCATAATTACTTTGAATCTTACATTTTAATATTCAATGTACAAACCTAATGTTAGAAAAAATGAAAATGTATTAGTGTGTTCAAAAAGTCTACAGTATTTCTTTTTTTCTTGAAATACTAGGCTTTGATCTCAAGGCCATGCACTTGTTAGCCAAGCCTCCAGTGCTCTGCTTTGCTTTATCATCTAGATAGGTCTCTCACTTTTGCCTGAAGTCAGCCTCAGACTATAATCCTCCTACTTCCCAAGAAACTGGGATTGCAGAAATGCCTACTATACCTGGTTTCTCTCTTTTTTTTTTTTTTTTGCCAGTCGTGGGGCCTGAACTCTGGGCCTGGGCGCTGTCGCTCAGCTCTTCAGCTCAAGGCTAGCGCTCTACCACTTGAACCACAGCGCCACTTCCACCTTTTTCTGCTTATGTGGTGCTGAGGAATTGAACCCAAGGCCTCATGCATATAAAGCAAGCACTCTACCACTGAGCTACCTTCCCAGGCCCTTCCCCCCTACCCCCCACCGTTTCTCTTTATGAGATAGGGCCTGGGAGAATTTTTTGCCCAGGCTTGCATCAGCACGTAATCCTCCAATCTCCACTTCCAGCATAGCTGGTATTTCAAGTGTAAACTGGCCACATCCAGCCCAAGAGTATATAATTTTGAGTGATTAAAAGTTAAGATAATTGAGCCTTATAATTAGATAATTTCGTATTTGGTATCTAATGGCCACTGAAGTCAAAGACAATCATCTGTATGTAACATCTAATTTAGTAATGGTTTACTGGAATAAATTTTCTTAGAAAGAACAAAGAATGGACGAGGAGATGTGGCAAGCCCTACAATGGCAGACATTCTTCCAATCAACCGGAAGTATGTGAACTAAGCCTGGGGTGTTCTGGACTATTTCCATCCTCACACATAGCCCACAGCAGTAGGTCAGACACACCCTCCAAACCTGGTGGCTCCCACCTGTCATCCTAGCTACTCAATAGCCTGAACAGTCTGAGGATCATGACTAAAAGCCAGCCTGGACAAAAAAGTCCTGTGAGATTCTTATCTCCAATTAACCACCAGAAAACTAGAAATGAAGCTGTGGCTCATGTAGTAGAGTGCTAGCCTTGAGCAAATGGAGCTTGGAGGCAGTGCTCACGCTCAGAGTTCAAGCCCCAGGGCCAACGAAAAAGAAAAAACAAAACAAAACAAAAAAAGAGGGGGCTGGGAAGGTGGCTCAACGGTAGAGTGCTTGCCTTGCATGCCTGAGGTCCTGGGTTCGACTCCTCACCATCACATAAGCAAAAAGAAAAAAAAGCCAGAAGTGGCACTGTGATTCAAGTGGTAGAGTGCTAGCCTTGAGCTGAAGAGCTGAGGGACAGCACCCAGGCCCAGAGTTCAGGCCCCCACAACCGGACCCAAAAAATAAATAAATAAATAAAAAGAAAAGTAAGGAATTTTCTTCAAATGGTATTTAATAAATGAACCATTCAATTCTATACTCTTTTGTTGTTTCATTGAGACTTAGCTCTAATAGGTACTAAAACATCACAATGTAATAAAACTATAAACCCTGATCTAATTTTTTAATTGGAATAATAAAAAGCTATTGCTAGAATTTATTTCTACTCCTGTGCTTCACTATTTCCATCTGCTCCAGTAATTCTTCAAGACAGACAAATAAAATAAATTTTGTTCATCTCACTATCTAGATCAAAGCAACCCTTCCTCTTATAATCTTCCCTGCATCATTCTCTGGGTCTGAAACGATTTCAAGAACGCAGAAGGAATTATTAGGATATGCATTACCACCCCATAACAGCTCAAAGTCTTTTCATAAGCCAATCTGATCTTGTTTCGGTAATTAACATACCACTTTTATGTTGACAAAACTTACTCACCTGAACAAAGGCAACGGTAACAACAATAAGTATTGCCTAAACAGAACAGAGAGACAGCCTTTTAAAATCACACGGTAGTGAGAAGGAACTGTTAAAACATGTTTTACTTTTCAGACTACAGATTTCAAACGCTGAGCTAGGTTGGAGAAGAAACCCTAGCTTTGCCCTGAGGCCTGTCAGGGAAGACCCTGCTCCTGGACAGTGGACGGCCGTCCCAGGCAGCTCTGAGCCACTGGGGAAAGTATCCGAACTCACGGCAGCATACATTTACCAGAACTCTAGCTACCCCTTGGAAGCCTGAATTTTATCATTAATATCATTAATGACTATTTCACGTAAAAGAATACTCCGCCTCACCAACAACTGCCTTGAGATAATCATGGTGCTTCTACAAACGCAAGTATGTTGCACAGCTCTGTATTAAAAAGGTATGTGCTCAAAGCAAGATTTAATCAAATTAATTTTTACTGTTCTATCAAAAATCTTTTTTTTAAAATTAGGCTTCAAACTCACCACCCTCCTGCATGCACCTGCCATGCAGCTAGGATTACTGGCATGTATCATCATGCCCAGACGTCAAAACATACACTAAATGAAAATAAGGCTAGTAACAATTGTGGGCCATTACTCTGACTTGTGCTAAGGCTCTACCTGTTTCTATACACCATTACTTTTTGTGCCTTTAGTTTCCTAGGTCAGGTTTCAGTTCACCGATTAGCTCAAGTATTATCAACTGGGAAGCAGAAGAAATCTTAAGGATGGCTAAGAAGTTATTGTATTTTCTATCTATGAAGCGATCCGATTGTTAAATCGCTTGTCATGGGTGCCATCACGTTATTCAAGATTACTATAACGCCTGGGCACGGTGTTGCACACCTGCACTCCCGGCTGGTCAGGAAGCTGAGACACCACGTGCTCTCAGGAGGTTCAAGATCAGTCATCGTTGTTCAAAGTAAGTAGTACTCCCATTGAAGTAGTTCATCAATAGATTAAAATGCACACCCAGGCCTATACTCACCACAGTGATACTGACGGCATCATCAAACTGATGCATTAAAACACTGATGACTGCGGAAGCCAGAAGCAGCATAATAAGGGGGTTTTTAAACTGAAAGCAAAAAACAAACAGCGGTTCAATACTTTATTAATGACGGTTCTGTTCTATTCATCAAAGGCTTTACTTAAAATAAACTGTAAGGACATAAGTTAAAAATGATGACAGCTGGGCACCGGTGGCTCACGCCTGTCATCCCGGCTACTTGGGAGGCTGAGATCTGAGGATCACAGTTCAAAGCCAGCCCAGGGCAGTAAAGTCCATGAGACTCTCATCTCCAATAAACCGCCAAAAAACCAGAAGTGGTGCTGTGGTTCAAGTGGTAGAGCACTTGCCTTGAGCTGAAGAGCTGAGGGACAATGTCCAGGCCCAGAGTTCAAGCCCCATGACCGACCAAAAAAATAAGATCCTGCAGATCAAGTGGCATAGAATCTTTTCTCCCCTCAATAAGGAATTACTTGTTTAGTAAACCAACCCTGCTAGTTGCAATTGGCCACAGGGTGGTAAAATTTTTTACATTAATGTAATTGTTAAAAATAAGAAGACAAAAAACCCTATAAGTCTTTCTTTAAAAAGTATGATAATTGGAGGAGAAAAAGATTAGGACAATGATAAAATAATTACAAATGGCTATCATTATCTATCATCACCTATTACTACCAACTAAGGTTATTACCATTTTATAATGGAATTAAGGGAGAAGATAATAGAGATCACACAGCAGGTAAGAAATGAAATTGTAATTTATACCACGGCACTTGGGGTTTAAATGATCAAACAACTAATTTTCTAAGCTAGCCATCATTACCTTAAAATGAATTAGCATTCCAATTCTTTAAAAAGTATAAATTCAGTTTAGCACAAGAGGCTTACACCTGTAATCCTACCTATGCAGGAAGCTAAGAAATGGGGATCTCGGTTCAAAGCCAGCCTACACAGTAACGTCCTGAGACTCTTATCTCCAACTAACCACCAAAAAGCCAGAAGTGGAGCATCTTAAACAGAACAGAATATCTTAAATAAAACATCTTAAGCAAACAAACAAAAAAAAAAACAGAACATCTTAAACAAAAAAAAAAAGCTAAGAGACAGGGCCTAGTCCTGAATTTAATATCCAGTACCAGCACACAGAAAAAGTGTAAGCATAGTATTTGCAAAAGAGCTTTTTGCTTCATGTAATTTATCAATACAGAAAAAATGCAGCCCCGCACCAGTGACTCACGCCTGTCATCCTAGCTACTCAGGAGGCTGAGTTCTGAGGATCGCAGTTCAAATCTAGCCTGGGTAGAAAAGTCCATGAGACTCTTATCTCCATTAACTCCAGAAAACTAGAAGTGGTGTTGTAGCTCAAGTGGTAGAGTGCTCACCTTGAGCTGAAGAACTCAGGGAGAGCACCCAGGCCTAGCAGTCAAGCCCCACGACCAACAACAACAAAAAAGTTACAAACTAAAACTTACAGGAATTCCAACCTAACTGTAAATCCTAACAAATGGAAATTTGTATTTCCTAAGCGGGCGCCCCATGCCTGTAATCCTAACTACTGAGGAGGCTGAGATCTGAGGATTTCAGTTCAAAGCCAGCCCAAGCAGGAAAGTCCCTGTGAGACTCTTGTGCTGTGGCTCAAGCGGTAGAACGCACGCACGCACGCACGCACGCACGCACGCACACACACACACACACACACACACACACACACTATTTTCTGAGCTAGGAATGTGGCTTAATGGTAGAGTGCTTGCCTAGTCTGCAGGAAGACCTGGGTTCAATTCCTCAGTACCACATAAAAAGCCTGAAGTGGCACTGTGGCGTAAGTGATAAGGATGCTAGCCTTGAGTAAAACAAGCTCAGTGACAGTGCCTAGGCCCTGAGTTCAAGCCCCAGGATGGGGAGAAAAAAATTCCTGCCAGGCTTTGGTGGCTCATGCCTATAATTCTAGCTACTCAGGACATTGAGATTAGAAAATAACAGTTTGAAGCCAGCCTAGGCAGAAAAGTCCCTGTGAAACTCTTATCTCCAATTAACCACTCAAAAACTGGAAATGCCATTGTGGTTCAAGTGGCAGAAGCCTCTTGCACACAAAAAGGCTCAAGGACAGCGCCTAAGCCCCAAGTTCAAGCTCCACAACCAACAACAACAACATCAACAACAACAGTTATTTCCTGCCAGGCTTTGTGATCCTAGCCCCCCAGGAGGCTGAGATCTGAGGACTGCAGTTCGAAGCCAGCCCAGGCAGGAAAGCCTGTGAAACTTCTATCTCCAATGAGCCACCGGCAAAGCAGAAGTGGAGCTGCGGCTCAAAGTGGTAGAGCGCTAGCCTGGAGCACAAAAACCTCAGGGATGGTACCACGATCAACAGTAAGAAAAGTTACTTCCTTTCAATCGCCTTATTAAAGCAGACAAATGAGTTACAAAGCAGAGAAGGAAGCAAAGCAAGTCTTACCTGAGAAATGTATTTCTTCCACAGTGGTTCGTCCTCACTGATATCAAACTCATTCCAACCGTGGAAGGCTCGCCTGTGACTAACTTCACATTTGTTTAACCCATTCTGAAGATCAGCCTATTAAGAGTTGACACAGAAAAGTTATCGACAACATTAGCACGGAACAAAACAATACCACCGAAGAGTGTGTGTGTGTGTGTGGCCTGTGGTCACAAGACAGGAAGCTAGTCTGTAGTGACAGAAAGCTCCCCTGTGGCTGCTGGGGACCAGAAGCCGTACATGACAAGAGCTCAGTACAACAGGACACAAGGAAGCTTTCTAGAGGCATACCAACGTTCTGTGTCTTAATAATCATGGCAGTTGCATTTCTCAAATGGTATACTCGAGAGTGTTGTATTATGTAAATTATACCTTAACAGGATTTATTTTTTAATATAAATAAGGAGTGTTTAGCAAACTTGTTTTCCTGTAGGAAAAGAAAAGGAATACAAACCAGCTGTAATAACTCAGTGAAAGTAGAATATCACTACATTTTTTTAAATTTATTTTTCATTGATGTTTTTGCCAGTCCTGGGGCTTGAACTTAGGGCCTGGGCACTGTCCCTGAGCTTCTTTTGCTCAAGGCTAGCCTTCTCCCACTTGAGCCACAGCACCACTTCTGGATTTTTCTGTGTATGTGGTACTAAGGAATCAAACCCAGGGCTTCATGCATGCTAGGTAAGCACTCTACCACTAAGCCACCTTCCCAGCCCCAAGATTAAGCTTATTCTTGAAATACAACAGTACTTCTCTGATACCTAATATCACTAATTCCTTTACTGTCTCTCCTGAGTTTATGACTAAAAAATGAAATTTCAAAGCAGGGCGCTGGTGACTCATGCCTATAATCCTAGCTACTCAGGTTGCTGAGATCTGAGGATCACAGTTCAAAGCCAGCCCAGGCAGGAAAATCTATGAGACTGTTATCTCCAATGAACCACCAGAAAACCGGACATGGCGCTGTGGCTCAAGTGGTAGAGCGCTCACCTTGAGCTGAAGAGCTGAGGGACAGCGCCCAGGCCCAGAGTTCAAGACCCACAATCCCTCCCTCCCCACAAAAAAATAAATTTCATGGAGTCCATCAAATAACATTTTCCTAGCCAGTGGCTTAATAATTCAGTTTAGTAATCAAGCCATTCAAAATTTAAAGCATATTTTAAATAACTGATGTTAGATATAAGTATAAATAATTTTTAAGCCCTCAAAAGTAAGCAGCCATGTTTTTAATGCCACTATTAAAATATGTGGATGTCCAAAGGAAAAGTTAAAAATGCTCTTTTATGTTTGAATAGATACTTTTGAAAACTGGGAAGAGAATTGCATTAGTTATTAAAATTTATTTTCAGCTATGAACTTGTTCTTAGCTTTTGCTTTACTTTAGAAAACTGCTCCCTTTCCCACTCCCAACCCCCCCACAAAAAAAAGAAAGAAAAGATAAAACTGGGCATTGGTGGCTCCTACCTACTTAAGAGGCTGAGATCTGAGTATTTTGAAACCAGACCAGGCAATAAAGCCTGTGAGACTCCAATAAACTCAAAAAAAAAAAAAGAAGAAGAAGAAGGCAGAAGTAGAACTGGGGTTCAAGTGATAGAGCAGTAGGCTTGAGCAAAAGAAGCTCAAGGACAGTGCCCAGGCCCTGAGTTCAAGCCCTGCATATCAGCACAGGAAGAAAAAAGATGAATTTCTAACGCTACTGTGTCACTAATTACATTGATTATTTTCCTAACCCACGAATGCTTACTCAGCACTAACTAATAGTTCCTGGTCATGCTAATGATCTAGAGCCATGATATCCCATCAAGTTCCCCGTAGCCACATACAGCTATTTAAGTTCATTAAAATGAATTCACTTTCTCGGTCAGGCTAAACGAATTCCAAGTCATACAGTCATGTTTAACTCGTGACTATTACTTTGGAAAGCACCATGCATTTGCTGAAGCGAATTCCATGGGGCAGCACTGACTCAGAGGCCAGTGACTGACATGCTCTCTGCTCCCTTCCTCCCACCAAAGCACTTACTTGGAGAATGCCTGCAACCTCACTGACGGGTAATTCACTTGCTTTCTTTGATGTCAGTACAGGAATCATTGTCTCATTTTCACCATTAGGTATTTTTTGAAAACGTGCAACCTAGGAAATAAAACCAAAGGAAAATCTCAATACTGAATATGATGCAGTGTGGAACAGCAAATAAAAATTCAAACATACACAGCAACTTCTCTCCTACAGTGCTACACTAATGAGCCGCTAGTCCTAATAAAACTTTATACTAACCACATGCTGTTTTTCTTGAAAGTGTATTTCAAAAGTTAAGCCACAATACCAGCTAGACCACAAAATCTTCACATTAAACAGATGCTATTTCCTCATCAACACAGAGTTAAAAGGAAAACAGATGTCCTGCCTATTCAGATTCTGACGATTACACATAATCATAATCCTCTCAACTCATTATGTTTAACGTGAGAAACACGGGTATGGCTAAGCTTTCTCCATTTTAACTACTCCTGTGATCAGTCCATTTCTTTTCTCCACAGAAAAAGACACCTGGCTAACTCTTCTTCGAAAGCACCAAGACAGCAAGTAAGACTTAAAAATCTACTCTTGCAGACCAGAAGACAAATAAGAAGACAAGCCAAGGATATACAGGTTAGTGAGTAGGCTAAAAACACAGAGGAAGTCTCAGAAATGACAGCAACCAGGATGCCTATTTGATCTCCATGCAGTTTTAGAAGCGTCCGTAGATAAAGTAACTTACGACAAACCTCCCATCTAGATTAGCCTTTGACTCTAAGCTCAGATTCCTTATAAACAAGCAGTTTTGAATGAGTAGAGGGAGATAAAAGCTCCTTGCTACTAGAAAGAAGGTAAACACTTCTGTGGGTACACATTCACTTGACTAAAAAAATACTGATAAAATGATCATGGCACTGCTAAAACACAGACAAAAATCTTTTCAAACTGAAAAAAAAAAATCAACATTTTTAAAAGAAAATATTTTCCTGAAAAGTTTAAGCATAAAATCTATAGTGTCAGTAAAAGGCTTGTCTCTACAAAGAACATTCAATTGAATATGGAAAAAAAAATAGCTGAGAGGGATAAAATATTCCCTGGCTGGGAAGGTGGCTCCGTGGTAGAGTGCTTGCCTTGCATGCAGGAGGCTCTGGGTTCCATTCCTCAGCACCACATAAGCAGAAAAAGCTGGAAATGGCACTGTGGCTCAAGTGGTAGAGCACTCGCCTTGAGCTGAGAGACAGCGTCCAGACCCAGAGCTCAGGCCCCACAACCGACAAAAAAAAAAAAAAAAATTCCCTCAATCTGATTAAGTTTCTGGAACTAAACACAGGTTTTGTAATCTCATTTATTAAAAAGGCATTGTTGAATGTTTCCATAGTATTTTTCCACTTTTAATAAGAAGCTATTAGTGACTAAAAATTCTGAAGAAACTGTAGGTTACCTTTCATTACAATTATTGAATTTTGTAACATAATATTACTTAAAACTGAATTTTATAAACAACATAGAAATATTTTAAACCTAGTGAAGCCCGGTGCTGGTGGCTCATGCCTGTCATCCTAGCTACTCAGGAGGCTGAGATCTGAGGATCATGTTTTAAAGCCAGCCATGACAGGAAAGTCTGTGAGACTCTTATCTCTAAAAAAACAGTATAAAACCAGAAGTAGCACTGTGGCTGAAGCAGTAGAGCGCTTGTCTTGAGCTGAAGAGCACAGGGACAGTGCCCAGGCCCCGAGTTCAAGCCCCACAACTGACAAAAAAAAAACAACCAAACAAAAAACAACTAGTGAAATGCTCTTGTTTCAAATTCAAGAAACTAAAACAAGAAACCATTTGCAAGCTGAATACTAAGAAAATCTTTTGGCAGTTGGTACGTGTGCAGGCCTTACATTTCAGAACATTTTTACCTAACACCCCTCCGGAGCATTCCCATGAGTTTCGTGGGTCTGAAAAGGCCAAAAATCTCAGCAGAAGAAAATGAGATTATTTCATTTGCCTAAGGATAAGACACGGAGGGGACACGGTGAAAACTCGCTGAACATCCTAAAGGCTCCCTGAACACCGCAAATGTGTTCACAGGTGGAAGTGGACTGAGCAAATGGAAAACAACATCCTTCCGTCTAGATGGAGGGTCGCATTTAACGCCGTCATTCCACGTTGACCAGCAAGGGAAGCAGAAAGCAGTAGAAATACCTTTGCAGATACAAGGGAGGCAGTGAATATAAGGCACACGGGGATTGCTCAGGGCGTTCTAGGTGTTAGTTCTGGGGTTCTGAACTCAGGGCCTCGTGCTGGCTTGTCGGGCACTCCACCAACTGAGTTACGCTGTCAGTTCTGGTAATTAGATGGTTACCTGGGGATGAGAGTCTAGTGGCCTTTTCTGCCAAGGCTGGCTTTGAACCTCCATCATCCCATCTGAGCTTCCTGAATAGCTAGGGTTATAAGCAGAAGCCACCAGCATCCACTGCTCATAGGAAGCTTGATGAAAGAATTGTTTCTGTAAGCCTTTACCCTTGACTGTGGTACAAAGGAGCCACCGAGAAACAAAGCAGGAAGGTCAAGTTGGCACCTTCCCCAAGAATGAACCATTTCTGGTGCTCGCCACTGAGGAAAAAGAGCAGACCCTGTGACAATGGCAAGGTTGTCATCTTTGAGCAGCGGTGGTCGCTTACAAGCTGCAAGTGAAGACGATCCAGGATCTCTTAAGAATGGGACTTGGGCCAGGCGCCAGTGACTCACACCTGTCATGCTAGCTACTCAGGAGGCTGAGATCTGAGGATCGAGGTTCAAAGCCAGCCTGGGCAGGAAAAGTCCATGAGACTCTTATCTCCAATAACAGAAAACTGGAAGTGGCGCTGTGGCTCAAGTGGTAGAGCACTAGCCTTGAGCTGAAGAGCTCAGGGACAGCACCCAGACCCAGAGTTCAAGCCTCAAGATTGACCAAAAAAAAAAAGAATGGGACTTGTGTCACGATGAGCTGAAAGGTTGTAATGACTTGGAGCTACAGCAACTTTGTTTGGCCTGGAAAATGGGTTTCTGGGGCTCAGACAGCTGCTGTCCTCTGTGGGGGTGGAGCAGCACCTGTTCCTCTAGACAGGCCTAGCAACCCCAGATGTGGCCATAGGAATTCTTAGCCAGGCCTGTCTTCTCAATCTCTCACCTTTCCCTAGGAGCTCATCATTCACTTGTTTTTTTTTTTTTTTTTTGGCCAGTCCTGGGACTTGAACTCTGGCTTCTTTGGCTCAAGGCTAGTACTCTACCATTTGAACCACAGCACCACTTTTGGCTTTTTTTCTGTGTATGTGGTACTGAGGAATGGAACCCAGGGCTTCATGCATGCTAGGCGAGCACTCTACCACTAGGCCACCTTCCCAGCCCCGCCCTCCCCCCTTTTTTTAAAATTACAAAAATAACTGTTTTTTGTTGTTGTTGTTGTTTTTGCCAGTCATGGACCTGAACTTTGGGTCTGGGCGCTGTCCCTCAGCTCTTCAGCTCAAGGCGAGCACTCTACTGCTTGAGCCACAGCACCACTTCCGGCTTTTTCTGTTTATGTGGTGCTGAGGAATCGAACCCAGGGCCTCATGCATGCAAGGCAAGTGCTCTACCACTGAGCAAAAATTACTGTTAACGACCATTTTCTTCTGACATGAATTCAGCTGCCAGTAAGATTTGCTCCAGCATGTTTCCAAGCAGATTCACTTTCACACTCATCCATGGATATTCTACACCCACTTTGAAGAGCTGGGTACACGAGTATAAATAATGGCTCGGCTTTTAGTTTAGGGTTCAAGAACAGATGTGGCAGGCAGAAAGTTCTGACCTGGCAAGCAGCCTTCCATTATAGATTTTAAAAAGGGCGCCAGGGGCTCATGCCTATGTCATCCTAGCTACTCAGGAGGCTGAGATCTAAGGATCACAGTTCAAAGCCAGCCCAGGCAGGAAAGTCCATGAGACTCTTATCACCAATGAACCACCAGAAAAACTGGAAGTGGCACTGTGGCTCAAGTGGTAGGGCACTAGCCTTGAGCTGAAGAGCTGAGGGACAGCGCCCAGGCCCTGAGTTCAAGCCCCACAACCAACCAACAAAAAAGGTAGATTGCTTTTGTTTCTAGTGCGCTCTGAACATCTGTGTGTTCACATCTCTTTTCTCTTCTGAGATTCCCCCACCTTGTATACATGGTGGTTCTTATCTCCTCTTCCACTGACACAGGTGATACTCCTGAATAACCAGGACTGTGTGCAAGCTGAGATGTGTACTGTGTTTGGCAACATGGGTAAACCGGGAACACGTATCAGACAGAGGCATAAGAGCTGAAAGCTGGGGCTGGCTCAGTGGTAGAGTGCTTGCCTAACCTGCATGAAGCCCTGGGCTGAATTCCTCAGTACCACATAAACCACCAAGGGCTAGGGGTGTATCTCTGTGGCAGAGGCTTCATTCAAGAAGCCCTAAGTTCAATCCTCTGTATAACAGAGCTCTCCACAACTGCTCAGCTAGAAGTTCTGGCACAGAAAAGCAGTATCTTGGGAACACCAGGAATCAAACCAGGCAATTCTACTTTAGAGATGTTAAGAAGTCATATTATGGGCAGAAGAAAGAAAACTTATGTACTAGATCCAACAGGATAGCACAAGTCCCAAACCAGGAACTGCTTGTTCTCAGCTGATCTACAGAAATCAAGCTGAAGTGAATGATACCAGGGGTTTACTACAACAGAAGCTTTTATGTGTAAATATAATGCAGGCAGAGTTTGTACTTTGGGCACCTTATCCGTAAGCCCTATTTATAGAAAGGTCCATGACACTATCATTTGAAGTAGTGAATTCTGGTTCTGAAGATGTCCAAATGAATCTGTTTCCTTAACTCATCTTCTGGTTGAAAACAAGGCAGCCGGTAGTTTTCGGTTAACACGGTATATAAATCCAACTATAATCACCCTGTACCACGTTCTCCTTTAGAACTGAGAAAGCAGGACAAGGTGCAAGACTCCACACCAACTTCCATACAACAGCTCTACTGTTGTATTCCTGGGCTTCAGCAGAGGCCTACGACCCTCGGGGGTCTAACGTGTGGAACCAAGCCAGCCTCAAACTGGCAATCCTCCTTAGAGCTGGGA